CTACCCTTGGGTGGAAACCTGTCTAAAAGATGATTTCAAAAGAATGCAAGGCAATTCACAGATAATGAAGAAACATCTGTGGAGAGTACTGGTCATGTAATTCTTTTTCTTGTTCTTTCATGCTCAGTAACCCCCTTGTATCTTAGTGGCTTTATTGCCTTGCTTAAGGTAAACAAGATTAAAAAAAACAAACATCTTTTTATATATATGAGCTATCAAAAATGTGCCATTTATATATTGACTTCGCATGTAGATTGTTTTAAATTTAAGCAACTAAAATGTGATAGTTTTTTTTTCTGTGATGAAGTATTGTAATTATTTACACCAATTTACATTGTTTGAACTGTTGTCCTCATCTTTGTTGCCATATTCACAATGTTTCAGTCATTGTACGCTCTAACCTTCTTCAAGTGATTGGAATTTTGAACTGAGCCCTTTTATTTCATCCACCAAGGTAGATTGTTCTAGTTCCACATGGCCCAGTGGATAAAAGCGTTGGTTGGATCCAGTGACTTGTGAGTTTAATACCTGGCTACTGCAGGGGTGAACAAAAATGTGGAGAGTTGAGTTAAAGTGAGATAACAGAGAAATCTGGAAGAGCCATGGCACGTGGAACTAGAACAGCCTACCCCCACTGGTGACGAAATAAAGGGTTCAGTTCGAAATTCCAAACACCTGAAGACGGCTGTAGTGTACAATGGCTGAAACATTGTGAATATGGCAACAGAGATGAGGATAACAGTTTGAACAATGTAAATTTTTTTTTTCATCAATGTTTACTGTTTTATTAGCAAAACAGCTTCCACTCTAGGAAGATACAATCTATTCCTGAGGCCTAAACTAAATTGCAAGTTATTTGACTGTAGGTGTCCGAATTGAACTCAGTTCAGCTTCCAGAATGCTTTGCTTTTGGTTGTATATAAAAAATAGCTTGTGTTTGTTAAAACAAGGGAGATAATCTACAAGTCTCTTATTTTGCGTAATAAAGAAAAAAAAATAATGGATTCGTTAATAGAAATTAAAATCATTCCCTGTTTCTTGAAGAATTTTCAATTTATTTTGGTGTTTCTATCCAGCAAACTGATTATGCATGATGTAATACTGACACGATCAAATTTACTTTTTTAATTTAATAATTGCATGAAATTTGAACTTGCATGTTTCTTTTTATTATATTATTATTATTTTCCATTGATTTTTTTTCTCCATAGATATGAAAATGCTTCACATCAAATTGAATGCTCTCAGCTTTTCTTATGTAAATTTAATCTGCAAATTGTATTGAAAAATATTCTTACAAATAAAGTTACTGTTCTGTTATTTACATTCAGACTATTTTTGTGGTTAGAATGTTCACTTTATGACCCTGAGACCTGGGTTTCAATCTTACCTGACAAATCGACCATGGTGACTTGATGTTATCAATCTAGAAGAGGCAATCCTAGCATGTGGCACCTTTGGAAAGAGCTTCAAAAAAAAATAAAAACATACCATGGGTTGACCCAAGCCTTGTGAATGAAATTGTGTAGGCAGAACCATTGGAAGCTGTCGATAGTTTTGCTAGCACAAAGTCAGAAGTCATCATGACAGAGGGTTTGAGTGTGCTGGTTTTTTTTAAGACTGTGTGTTATCAACAGTCTCCCAGAAACGTTGCAATATATACCACAAGGAGGCTCTGTGGGTGTTGAACCAACACAAATATGCCTGAACAGGTGTCTTTAATGGAGATTAGCTAGCTACTCTGTTAGACAACCATCCTCAGATATGAGTGGCTGTGCCATTTAGACTGTCATTATCACAATTTGGCTGCTGTGCCCTCTGTTCATCTTCAGGTTTTAGTTGATCTGAGTAACCTTTGGTGTATCTTGAACTGATCCCATTAAATAATCTACAGGAGTAGATATCCCTACACATGGAGAATGAAACAAGGGTAACTTTTCATATTCTTATTTAGTATTATTACTCTGTTTCTACTGAGTCTGTGTTATCCAGCCAAGGGATTGAACTCACAATTCCTATTTTACCAAATTCACAAACTTTTAAGACTATTATTGTACAACATATTAGTACAGTTAGGTTAGGATTAAGAATAAAAGTTTATTTATTGATGGCCACATATTGATGGCCACAAAGTAACATCTTCATTTTTTTATTAAATTCCTATATAATAGAACTTTTTTTTCTTGCAGCAAATAATTAAATTTTGTATTTACACTACCAAAGAAAGGAAAAAAAAAAAAAAATTTTTTTTAAACTTAGAGGAATTATTATAGTTTCTTTCATCTTAATATCTGTTGATTTTTATCACAGCCATTGGATGTTTATTTTTTTTATAGATTATGCAAAAGTACTTCACAAAAGAACTGTTATGTAAGCTTGATATATTTAGAAAGGATATTACAATAATCCAGAACTTAATAAAAAAAAAAAATATATATATATATATATATATATATATACACACACACACACACTATTCAAGAATTCTACATTGAAATATCCTCCTTTTCTATTTATTAGACCCAAGCATAAAATTTAAGCAACTTGTATATTAATTCTTATACAAATATTAAGCAAACCCAAGTACTGGTCAAAATCCTAAGTTGCTTTAAAAAAAAAAAAAAAAAATTACTACCATTATGTTCTTTATTTTTTTTTTTTTTTTTGCATGACAAACATTATCAAGTCATTTTTATAAACAAGTGTACTCAAATTTGAATAAATTGATTTATAAATTTATACATAGACATTCAAGGACACATTAAAAGAGATGAACAGCATAAACACATACTATGAAAATATTTTCTATACACAACTTTTTGTAAATGGCTCTACTCAAATTTAGCTAAATCTGAAGAAGCACTTCCATGACTGATGTTAGTGTAACTTAAATTAAAAATACTTTTAAACATAAAAGAAAAGCAAATGTTATTTTGTTCTGTAGTCAAGATTTCTGCCAGTTTAGTTACATTGAAATGTCTTTTTCTATTTCTTAGAACCCAGCATTAGAATTTTAAGCAACTTATGGACTAGTTTTTGAAGAAAAATTAAGTACTGTTCAAAATCATAAGTTGTTTAAAGAGAAAAAAAAAAAAATTGTATTTCAACTGATAAAAATATTTTCCATTATAATTTTTTTTTTTCTTTTAATAGGGAAGCTCAACCAATACAGGGTAGATGGTTACTAAATGACATGTTGTACGAATGAAAGATTTAGGTGGGGGGGGGGTGAATAATAATAATAATTGATCCTTATTGTTCAAGGAAGCAGCCACATAAGAGTCAGTTCCACAAAGTAGCTGTTCTTGAGAAAAAGTTGAGTGGAACTTCCTCCTTACAATTGCAATATGGATGAAATGAGGGTAATTTTACTCTATGGAGGTAGCATAATGCGACTTAGTTCCCCTATTTCAGAGCTTTAAAGCTAAATCTTCTTTAATAGATTTTACTTGAATAAAACTTGCTATGTATCTTTTGCAACAATGATTTTTCAGCTTTCATTATCTAGAAACATTGAATTCATTTATCTATTTCCAACTGGTAGATTCAGCCATAAAAGAAAAATGTTATATGGTGAACCTTTCAATAAAAGATGATAATAACAGTATATGTTTATTCAGAGTGTAATAACTGAAAAAAATGTCTTTAGTTTACATCATTTTTCTATCAGTTGGGGGGATTTCTTAAAATTTGAAACAACTTTGATTAATACAGTTCTTGAATATGAGATAGTCTTTGAAGGTCAATCAAAGGAAGAATTCTTTCTTATGGAATTCTTCCATAGACACTTATAAAATAACAAAACCATTAATGGAAAACATTGATCAAAATCTGTTCCTCTAAAAGTTGGATTAAGTTTTTTTTTTTTTTAATATTTCTAAGGCTGTCATCAAAATAAACAGATGTTAACTGAAACATGTATGCACATCACATTCATAATAAGAAATAATATAACTTTATATTATCTGTTGGTCATTAGTAAAGAGATATCCCATCGTTATAAAGTATTCTTCAATACCAATAAAAGAACATACCATTGAGGTTTTATGGTAACATGGGGTAAGTAGAGGAGATAAAAAAAGGTTTTGATTTTTGTTTAATCTTAGTTTTCTTTGGATATTTTTAATGATTAAAAAAAAAAAAATTACAATTATATAGATAAGTCCTAGTTTATATAACCAATTTCATTGCAAAATTACATTCAATTTTTTTTTATCATATGCTTGAGCCCTACTAATCAACATTAACAAAAATAATAGTATGTTTGTAATGATTTTTTTTTTAATCTTAATCCTTGTCTTGATTATTCCTTTTTCTAAAAATTGTGTAGACTTTAAACTTGCATCACTTGAGAATGATTACTCAAACAGTTGTCTCCCTTTTATTTTGTGTATAAATATTTTAATAGCAATCAAATATTTGTTCTCTTTACTTGCATAAACTTTTTTGTTTAACTTCCATGTTATTGTGCAAAATAATCACAAGTAATAATTTTAACTTTTCCACATTTCAATTTTGATTCAAAGCCAGCAAACTTGTTTTGAATTTTTAAAAACTTGCTAAATTTATTAAATTGAGAAATGTGTATTTGATATTTTTAAATTGTCTAATCAGAATTTAAAGATTTCATGTTTTACTTTTCCACTATTTGTATAATTTTGGTGATCACTTTTGTAAGAAAAAGAAATAAAAATTATTTTAAAAAAAAATCTATCTTAAGAAAAACCAAATTCTGATTCAATAAATAAATAAACAATCTATTTTTAATTAAAAAAAGAAAAAAAAATCTTATTCATTTGTTTGCATTTGTAAAAATTCTATGAAATTTAAATATAAATACGGAAAATTGTTTTAACTAAATAAATTTTCAACACAAACTTAAATTTTCCTAACATTATCAAAATGTAAATATTGATGACATGTCTGTACACGTAAATATTTATAAAACTTGAAATTTAATTGCATTTATTAACACAAAATTTTTTTTTTCTTTAACTCAGGAAACTTCTTTAACTGAAAGTAATGCTGTTTCCCGGAATACCTCCAACACAAGTTCTAAGAGTCTTCCATGCAGAACAACTGTTCACCGGAGCATTCCTCGCACACATTCAGAATCAACAGGTCAAAATCAGAAACGCATTAATTTGACAACAGAATTATAATAAAGAAAACTGCTGGTGTTGGGGGTTTTAGTGCCGCCATTTACCAATATGAAATATGAGAAAAAACAAAACAAAATGGCAACTGAAAATGAGTCAGCATATTTTAATGCCAGTTAATGTTTTTACACAACTCATTTTTGCATTTATTAACTGGACGTTTTTCAATTATTTTATACCCCAAGATACTGCTTACGGTGTTAGGGAACAAACAATTGAAACCATTGCTCTCAGACAAAATATACAATATCACATATTTCTATCTGCCTTTTTGGAGGTAAAATGAAGAAAAGCAAGCATTAATTTTTAGCTTTGTTTTTTTTTTATACATATATTTTTTAAAGCCTTTTCTTACATTTTTTTTCTCTTTTACTGTCATTATAGTGTTTCTGTTGTCAAAAGTTGTAAATCTAATAAGTAAAAATTTAAATATGGCTGGTAAAAAAAAATCTAAGCTAATATTGGCAAATAGCTGTAACCTTATATTTTTACTTTCATGTGGAAAAAGAAAAAAATCATTGATATTTCCATGTTGAAAATTAATTACAAATATGCCAATTTTTAGTTTATTATTGTATTCTTTGAAAAATGGTGCCTGAAAATATTCTTTCTGAAGAGAATTCAAAATTTTATGTACATATTTTTTTTTTCATTCCTGATAGAAATTTTATGGGACAGATGTCATTTTATAAGTTCTTTGTTTTTGTGAATGCTTGTGGCTTCAATAATTTCCATAAACATTTATGTGAGTGAATAATCACAACAATATGATCTATGTTATTCTTTTGATAATGATCAAGAAAAATCTCTAATCTATTTACCCTCCATGAAAATATAAAATAAATGAATTTTTTGGGAAGTAATATTAATAAATTTCGAGCTTACTCTTGATAAATCATTTTGTGTTTAATTAATCCAGTAAGAAATGGGACTTTGATGACCATATTCATAAAAAAAATAATCGGCTTGATCTTAGGCTAGTCTTTCATACTTTAATTTCTGTGCAAGACCTGATCATAGCCTTAATAAAGTACGCATTCTTGTAGTATGAACGTTTGTCAATTTTGACTGGAAGTTTTCCGCTTCCGACATGATTACAAGAAACAGCTAACTGGAGTTATCTGCCCTTACCCCCCTTTTTTTTTTTTTTTTTTTTTTTGCTTACGAAAATTGAATGCAACTTGGGACCAAGTGGTGAGATTTTTCTTTCATTACTCAAATATTACGATCAATATTTTATGAAATTATTTAAGTTTTACCTTAGTGGATTCTTTTATTTTAACCTCTTTTATCATAAGCCTGAAAGATTTCTTTTTTTTTTCCCTCTTAGTACTGTATGCAGTGTTTACTGTTCTATTAAATCTAAAATAAATTAATTATTGGAATTAAATTAATCCTAATTTCAATTTGTAAATAAACAGAATAGAAATCTCAAGGGTTTTGTGGTCTTGTAGTGCTTGCTATTTCAGTTACTGCCTCTTCAAAATTTTGGAAAGAAAGTTCTTGACTACACGCTACTTTTTATTAGTATATTGTTTTGTTTCATATGACTAATTTTGCAAGTTCATTGCATAAAATCAACTTAAGTGGTTTGTGAAAATTCAAGGAATGGTTTTCTTTATTTGGCTGGACTGATGTGACTCCCCCACACACAAACATATTGGCATAGTTTTGCTTAAAGAAATATTTGCTGGTGTTAAACACTCAAGTATAAATTATTCAGAACTTGTATAACAATATCTGCTACCCCCTTGGGAAATAAGGGAAACTTTTCTGCTACCCCTTGGGGAATAAGGGAAACAGATGACGTTTCCTTGAATAAAGATTTTATCAGTCTGTTAGTGTTTGATAACTACTATTCCTGTTTTATAATAGATTTTGGCAAAAACTTAAGCATGCCTCTATCAAGCCTAAAAATGTTTCTATTCACCGCATTGTATTATTATGTGGAAATTTTCTCTCTCTCTCTCTCTCATATGCACATATTTCATCTCTTATTCTGGACTTAAAAAATGGATTTCTCTCATTAAATATGACAAATAAAATGGAAAAAATAAACATTCAGTGGTTTGGCTATTTTTTTTTTTTTTTTTTTATAAATACAAAAAGTTATTTCCCTTGTTTTCAGAATTATAGGCAAACTTTAATTTTTGTGCCTGCAAAAAAAATAAATAAATAAATAAATAAAAGTCTCTCAAAGGGACAGTTTTCCACTATCTTCACTCCTTCAGCAATGTTTATTTACAATCATAAAAAAAATGAGAACCAAGTACAATACAATATTTATTATAAAGAAATAAATGTGAAAAATTTTTTTTTTTTTTTTTACAAAATTATTAAAAAATGTAAACCATCTACAATATTTATTATTTACCATTTTAGAAATAACTATGAAAACAAACTTTTTATTCATAATTTTATAAAAGAAAATAAATTTTCTTTTCAGATTACTTGTTTGAATTTTCCAATTTTTTTTATTTTTTTTTCCCTATAATTGTGATCTTGAAATCCAAGGCCTAAAACTCAAATAATTATAGGTTACCCCATGTCCTACTCAATTTTGGAAAGATTTTAATTAGAAAATACCTAGAAAATTTGACTGATTATCTATGGTCAACCAATAACTAAATAAATTTTAAATAAAGAGTGCACACTAATCACCTTGACTAAAACCAGGCTAATAGTCTTCTTTGATGCTTACATTTTGGACATTCAAATTGATTGGCAATTAGTCAATGTGGATTAAACAGAGAGGATATTAGAGTTGACAAATCTGTATGGAATTGTAATCCATATAACAAAAAAAACAGTAAAAGCAGGTTCTTTTTATTCAAGTTACCCTTTTTATTTACTCCTGGAGCCAAAATATGATGCTGCTACTGAAGCTGGAATTTCAAAAGCTGTGATCAGTGTTGTGTTGGCAAGCAACTGCAGGATGTAATGCAAAGAACATCTATCACAGAATCCACTTAAACTTGGAAGTGACAAAGTTGTGTAAGTAGATGAAACATTTTGGAAAGAGAAAATATAAGGAAGGGTGAACCATGGGCACTGTATTTGGTGAGATTCAAAGAGACCCTGGAAAGTTTTTTATTCAATCAATTCAGGAACACATAATTTCAGATGATTGGCTTGCCCCTACAGTAGTATCTTACCCAGTAAAAAAAAAAATTAAAGTCAACTTTATCTCACTATTCATTGGGTGGACAAACACTATTTTGAGTGTGTGTGGTCTCGCCTAAAATCTAAAATTACAAGAATGTTTGGTCCAGGGGAAGAGATGCTCTTAGCTATTTTAGTGAATTTATGAGAGCAAATGAAGGAAATGCCTGGAAAATGCATTTTTAAAATTTATAATTATAGTTACTAGTCATTATGTTTATTTAAATTTCTTGTTCAGACTTTTTTTTTTTTTTTTAAATTTATGAATAAATAATTATTTTCATATTTATCTCTTTATAAATCGATAAATGATAAACATTGTATTCACATTCTTAGATTGTTGTAAATAACCTAATAAATAGTGTTTAATATTTTTGTTGTAAATTCTCAAAGAACAAAGGAAATGTATAAATTCACTTTCATATTTTTTTGGTTTTACTAAAATTCTAATCATCACTTTTTAAAACCACAAACATTACTGAAAGAGTGAAGGTAGTTAAAATAATAGTGACATCAAGAGGGGGGTCCTTTTGATGTTTTATTGCAGTCAGGAAGATTAAAATTTCTGATAAATAATACCAGTAGGATTTGTTTCACAACTTCAGGATGTTTGTGTAGCATAGTGGTTCACTCACACACAAATAATCCACCTCCCTCCAACTAAGAGTTAACAGCAGGACAGACTTGGTTCTGTAGCCTTGGTTGATGACCAGTTTAGAAGAACAACTCAATCTAAAATCAGTTTAGTATGAGGACTAGAAGCTCATCCTATAAAAAAAAAAAAACCTACATGTTACAAAAACTACAACAGCAGTGTCTACTGTGGTGAGACTAGGACTCTATACTCTACAGCACTTATATCCTAAAAGATAGAAGTAAGTGTTAATTGACATTATACACTTTCCTGGAGGTAGTAAAAACCCACTAAATGCAGAAACAAAAACAAAAACAAAAAAAAAAATCATCCAATCAGATAAAAGATGTAATGCAACCTGGTTATGGCTTAGGACACATACAAAGTAAAGTAGACTGTGAATAATTTTATTGGAGTCTGAAGTATCCAGGGTTTTATAACCAGCAGTAAAGTCAAAACTTCACAGCAACTACCCACTGTTTGATGCTGGATAGTTGCTTTTTTAGCCTCTTTTTGCAAGGAAAGTCATTGGAATCTTATAACATTTAATTCAATAAGTCACACCACAGCTTTAAGTTAACACCCTTTTTCAATACACGCTTATGCAATCATGAATCTTTCGATACATGACTGACAAGGCAAATTTTTTTTTCCCCTGCAGTAGGTTGCCATTTCTTTCTGCACTAGACCAGTTGACATTTAAGGCTATAGAACCCAGTCTGTCTTGCTATTTACCCATAGCTGTAAGGAGAAGAGGATTCATACCTCTCCCAAGGGTATTAGCACGTAAATAAATATAATGGATTCGACTGGAATTTGAACTCTACTCTCCGATTCCTCAATCCGAGCTGGTATCCATTACTCCACCATGCTTCTTTTTGGGGCTCTACAACCCAAAATTCAGTCAACACATTTTTTTTTGTCATATTTTGCCTATTTTTTGTCTCTTACCCAACTTAAAATAATCAATTCTAATGAAATTAACAGAATAAATTCTTTTCTCTTTTTCATGTATGTTCCAAAATTTCTTTTTTATTCATCCCAAGCAAGGCAATAAACCCACCGAGACAGTTTGCTGAATGTTAGAGAATATGAGAAAAAAAAAAGAAAAACATTAAGAAGAGAGAACAAAAAAAGAACAAAATATAAAGAGAAGATAACAATTGCATTTAAATTTTTGAAGACCAATATCAAAGTTAAACTGAAA